ATGTCAGCCTGTAGTTTTTCATTAACTTGTCAGAATCTTAAACAATTTACACTTTATAACATCAACTTAAAGTTGTGTCTTCCGTCTAACATTACTCCAGTACATACACTACGCATGTTGATTACTTATCGTCACTGTAATTTTGTAAAATATATTATTCGTGACCAAAGCGAGGCTTTTCCTTAAAAAAATTACTTAGTACTATCATCAAATCGTTGTCCATTTTTATTTTACTCGCTGTTGATCATTACTATGTTAGCTTTAGGTACTCGAACAACCTGAAATGAATTCCAAATATTCCTGTTGAAGGCTTTGTGCAAGCTTAAAATATCAATGCAGTGAACTAATTTTGGATAACAATTACACGCTACCACTGTTTAACACTTGTTAGTAGTTAAAACATGACTCATATCGTTATTTAATATTTTTTATATTAGCCAATTAAGATTTGTATATTTTATACATTAATGGTAACACGTGCATGTAACTTATGACTTGTAGTGATTATAACTGGCAAATAGCAATGTATGTGCTTATCTAAAACTTGTAAAGTTAAACCAGCGAGAAAACGATTTTAACTTGTAGTCACTAGGTTTCCTATTGTATAATGGCCCTATTAAAGTTTAAATCGGTATAGTTGTTGATTGCCAAGTATCGTATTGCGGAATGGAACAAGCATAATTTTTAAGTTTCCGTGTGTAAAGCTAGTTTAGGGGAATACACGTGGCCCACCGTTCTCCCTCTTTGGTTCTATATAGAAAACAAACACAAATTTAGCGGTGTCTGTTAAAAAAAATCAAGGACCAACAAACTTTGAAAGTGTTCCAACAATGATCAACAAAGTGTTTGGAAGGTTTTTGTTGAGGTCTGTTATACGATTGCCGCCGAGTTCACAAAAGTGTATTACTTTTGAAAAAATCTATTAGCCATTTTTTTAAATAACGTAAAGCTTCATTATAACTCGGTATACATAAATCAGTTACCTAAAAAAAACAATGCATTTTTTTTGTAAATAACTTACCATTTATTATATATTTTATTTTTCTGGACATTAGCCCAGAAGTTTGTATTCATAAACGTGAAGTGTGCCAACTGTCAACACCACTCGATATTAATTTTTACAATGGCTGGTTATAACCGATTTTTGTTTGTTATCTAATTTGAAATTTCATTCAACACCGAACAGTGTGAATAATTTTTATTATTCATAAGAAAAAATAATTATAAAATGTTTTTAGGAACTGTAACACTTACGTTTAAAATTCATAGCTTAAAAACTTTAATTTACCTATAAAGGTTATACATGGATTTCGTGTAATACATATAACCAATATTTTAACTGATCTTTAATACCAATCAAATCTTACATTTTTAAACTGAGTTTTCTTTAATGTCAATTCAATCTTGTGAGTTATTATTTGTTTTAATTGAATTTTTTTTTACTATGGCTTCTTGATATTTTTTTCATGAAAATAATTTTTTTTAATATTTTAATACAATCTTTTTGGGTGGTGATTTTATTAAAAGAACGATGAATCTACATAAATAACTTTGACAAATATTCATCGTAGAACATAGACCATAGTTCATTTCGAGTTGAATTGATATATATTATTTTTTAAATTGTAATAAAAAAAAATTATTAAAGGCACTATAATTGGAAAAGTAATATGTTTTTTTTGGTGATTGTGATGAGCGTTTGAATTTAAAAATTAAGTTTTGATACAGTTATATATATATAGAACTTCCATGATAATAATATAAGATTGTCATAAGAAAAAAAACAGTCAAAGTTTAACTAAAATTAATTAAAACGTCTTAATTATAATTTATACAATCAGATTTTAATTAATATTTCTTTACACTTTGTTAATCCGGTTGTAACTAAATGATATTTCAATTAAAAATTTAGGATTTTAAATTTGAAAAGAACAAGAGAGAGTGAATAACAAATTATATGGATTTAGATATTCGCACTTTAATTGCTAAGATTTGATTTAATGGTCTGCCATCCAAATAATCTTGTCACCCAGCTCGGCTCTGGTGCTCTGGACCAAGTAATCCATTTCGACGTCTGAAGAAACGATCATGGTAATCCAGATTTGTAAATATTAAACTTTTCTTTATCTTATAATGTATAGAGGACTCTAATATGAGTTTTCATCTCAAGTTGATCGTGTCTATTCACTATTATCACATTTACTTATGCATTATTTCTATATAAGTTGTAAATTTTCTCAAATAAACGCTATACACCGTGCTCCACAATGATTCGACAAATGAAATAACTTTTATTCTAGTGAATATTTTTATGATTTTTTTTTTTAAATGATTTATACTCATTTGCGCTATAAGCACCACTTTTTTTTATTGCACTTAACTATTTTACTTTTTTAAATAATGATTCTATTTTTTAATTCAAGATAGCGATATTATTAAGAATAATTTTCTGAACATTTTGACTGGTCGATAACCAGATTTGGATAATTACTTTATAAGTTACTAAAGGTTAAAGGGTTGGATGGGAGGTGGAGTGTGGTAGAGTAAGCGCGTAGAGCTATTTTTATTTGCACGTATTACAATACAAATTTGGTGATCGACCAGTCAAAATGTTCAGAAAATTATTCTTAATAAAATGGCTATCTTGAATTTTTTTTTAAAAATAGAATCATTATTTAAAAAAGTAAAATAGCTAAGTGCAATAAAAACGTGGTGCTATAGCGCTAATGAGTATAAATTAATTTAAAAAAAAAATCTTAAAAATATTCATTAGAACAAAAGTTATTTCATTTGTCGAATCACTATGGAACACACTGTATTTTATTATTATTTATGTTAATGAAAGCCAGGAGGTTAGGCATGGTTTATTTGAGTATTTTATTAAATACTGTTTTACAAATATCAATATTTTTATATTAGTTATTTGTTAATTAGGTTTTTTTTTTGCGAATAATCAGTAAGATCATTTTTGGCGATAAAAAAAAATGTTCCGAAACGAACTCACATAATCCCAAAATAAATTATTAAGATATTAAAAGTAGTTTTCAGAATGTTAGTGATAGGTGTTAGTATAGTAATTATGTTTGGTATAGATTACCGACCGTTAAATAACAATAACATGTTTTTTTTTATACCCTTTATTAATACTTTTTATTCGATAATAAGATGGCTCAACAATTACATATTATTATTTAAACAATAATTACAAGCACGTTACAATTTTTAATTGGTAATCACTAAGTACATAAAGATATCGTAAAACAGTGTAATATAAGAAAAGACAAAATGTATAGTTAAGTGTAGACAAAAAACAAATAGATAGGAAAGAGAAAGAAAATAAATTTATAGTGTAAAATGAAAGATATTGTGACATTAATTACAAAAGTAACGCATTTGTAAAACATGTTTGTATACCAACATTTGATATATTTATAGGTTTTATACAATAACAAAACTTCTTGTTGGCAGCTTCTTAACTTTGATTTCGAACTGACAAGGTAATGGATTTTAAAAAATTTCACATATTTGTTCCTTAAAACCAAAAAACACCTACCAATCTGCATTTAAAGTCCAGGAAGTAAAGGCATTCTTGTTCCTAATTGTGAAAAAAATGTACAAAACAGCGTAAGACATTTTGTATATTATACATTATGTTGTTTAAGCTTAAGTGCCGAAAATTCGAAATCAGATGTTTTGATGCAAAGTGACCTAACCAAGCAGACCTATAGCTAAAGCAGCGTACTTTTATCCGAGTTTGTTAGACTTTTCTTAGTACTTCAAAAGAGAGCCGGCCGATCACGCGGGCTCCAACAAACAGCTCAGCTAAACGGTTTTTAAATTTTACCGCAAATTTTTTTTTAATCATGGTCCCGGAACGCTTCAATTGTGTATATCATACACGAGTGGATACTAATATTAATTTCATCATTATGTATAGAAACAAACAATCGTTTCCGTTGTATTTGCGTTGTTGAAAATACTTAATCTGTGTACAATCTCTTTTTTGTTAAATTAACATTCGTAACCACGCGCAAAGAATAAGCGAGGACTCAGATTAATTGAAATTTATTAAGAATTGTACACGTTTTAGCAATCAAAAGGGCCTTTCTACTTCTTGCGATCCGATAGGCGAAATCTGAAGGAATAATAATTATATCAGTTGACCCGCTGTAATATACATATATACATATATATATATATATAACGTTAGAAACAGCGGCAATACCGACAAATTATTTTGCTCGGCCACGCAAATCCTCGGCTTAGGCGGCAGAGGGTACACTCTCATACAATATGCCAATCAACTGACACGGCGACGCGACGGTGACATTAGTGCGGGGCAGGGTCGGTGAAGGCGGAGATGGCGAAAGCAGGACCTTTAGTCCATTAAACCGCGTGGAGTAAGAAATTGCACGAAACATCGGCAAGAGGGGTAGTGGCTAGGGGAAGGGGGCTGCTCGCCGCCGGTAAGCACGGGTACGGAATAATGAAATACTGAGATTTGGATGAAATCAATTTCGGTGCGCGTTGATAGCCATCGGGTTTTCGGACCCGGACGCCGTTTTGGATTAGACGGCGGCGGAGACGGGCGGGAAAACGCGGAAAATGGATATTGGCCGGCGAGGGGAGGCGCTGGCCGAGGTTAGAGTGTCACCGCGTGGCGCTGGACCGTCGACGGGGAGAAAGCACGGTGAAGTTCAAGTTATAGTCTTGGTGGAGGACGGGGAGGGGGGGGGGGGTGAAAACGTAAAACGTAGGGGAAAAAATAGCAGTTTCCCGGCTCCTCCCCTGCCCTTCCCCCCCCCCCCCAGACCTCGGCGACGGGGTAAACGCGAGCGAGGGTATACTATCGAGGGCGGGGAAGGGCGGCGGCAGCGTTTCCGTGCGACCAAGGGTGGTTAGCATGAGACACCCGGTGCGCGCGCATTGCCCATAAACTTCCATATTGCACCCTGCCGAGCGGGAAAACGGTCTGTTCTTTAAAAACCAGTGCAGTCGCAGTGTGAAGCAACTGTCGCGCGCGCGAGAGTGTGTCTAGGCACCCTCCCCCGAAGTATATTCCTGTCCTGTAAAAGTCGCACACACATCCTATAAGGTAATTGAACACAATTTTTAAAAAAAAAACTATTACTATTATTATTTTTACTTATTGTTGCCTAAGCGCAACGTCGCGAAATAATATGTTATTGGCATAATATTATAATCACACTCGACCAAAAACGACAATATAATATATATATATATGTATATGATAAAAAAATCGCGTCTGACTTGATAGAATCATTATTGGTATTGGCCCTGTATATTTTTTTGTGTAATTATTATAAAGACAAATGTTTGTTTACAATTATTTAAACTAACGAAGAATTTTTTAATTTCTTAAAACGTTGAACACTTTCAAAAATAATTTATAATAATATTGTATAGACGATGAAATTATAGGGAAAATGAATGAATTTGTATTTATCATTTTAATAAAAACGATCAATATGATAAATATTTTACTTGACATAAAAGGTAATTGGTGTAAGAACAAATTATTTTCATTTTGAATTATGTTGTAGATAAATTATATTATATTAATATTACCGATAAATGTTATAACTGATTTTTATTGTGGTTTTCGTTCAGTGCAATGTTATACATTATTTAGATTGTTTTATCTAAATAATTTACCTAGATGAAATATTTTATTATTTTATGTAGGTGGAAATATATATCTTTTATAATTTATCATATATATATATATAACACAATGCAAATATAACACAACTTTTAAAACTTTCGCCATAAATTAATGTTTGTGGTTAGGTTGGGTTTACGTCCGTTTAGCTCTGAGGTACAGATTTTATAAGGACTTTACCAAGCAGTTGAATCAAATGCATTGAACAATTTTTAAAGCGAATTGTCGTGCTTTTTTTTTGTGAATTTTGTTGCTTTAACTATTCCATCATTAATATGTGTTTAGTTCATTAATCAATTATCAAAATTTTAGTTTTAAGAAAATAATAGTATATTACTCTTAATGAATCACCCTGTATACGAACATAAATATAAAAATTTAGATTTTAATGTAATTAGTATTTGACACATTAAAAATTAAAAATTTCCTTACAAAGTTGTTAAGACTGTTCAAATTAGGTATTTTGTTCCAAAATCCAAAATACTTTTAGAAACGTTGTTTAAAATTGATTATAAATTACAAATGTTTTTAATGTTTACTGCTCGTTAAAATAACTGATACTAAAAAAGATTATTTTTAAATATAGAAATAGGATTTTAAGTAACTGGCAATGTAAAAGATAAATATATAATAATATAATAATTAAGTATTATGTGCTTATAATTATTATAAGAAACTTTTCTGATTTATGACCTAAACATAATACGAATGCGACATTTTTTAAATGTTAACCTACATTATACATACCTTTTACCTTATATTAGTTATTACATTTATGAGTACAAGTATACTTGTAGATTTTTATCTCTATAAATATAAATGCAATTAAATCCGGTAATATATTGTTATATTTCATCATTTATTTCTTCACTGTAATATTTCATATATTTTATACAATGTTGAACTTGCAAATAACATCATATTATAATACTACTTTATTAAGTTGAAACTTTTTGGAATATAGTTAAAATGTTTGCATAACTTGAATGATTTGTATTTTATGCTCTTTAGTTATGTATAGGCATTAGTGAAATGCCTATAGATATAAATATATTTACGACATTTTCCAAATTATGAATTATTATTATTACTTAATTATTTGTGCCACTAAATAAATTTATTAACAATAAATAACTTTCATTTCGAAATTTCGAGTTTAATCTACGATTCATAAATTTATATCACATTATTGTATTAAGAACCCTGCAGCGTAGCGTGTCTTGACAAATAACCATTAGTGCAAATACTTATACAAATGTCAACAAGTATTTATAAATGTGTATGATTTTACGATGGGGCAAATAACCAAGCAAATTTCGAAGCAAAAAAATATAATTCTATAATCACTCAAACGCTTCTGATATCTTTATGCACGTGCCGTCATAATAAACAGTATTATATTGTGACTCTATACATACAACTAATATTTAATATAGTTTCAAGGTTATTAAATTGCTTTATCCTCCATGAATGACCTTTGACAATACTTAAACTGTAACTCTGTTTATATATATAGGCAGTTAATAATTTTAAGTTTAATAGACATAATCGTCTTACATCGACAAATTTAAATGAAAGATAATTATTATAATTTGTCTTCTGTTAATGTCATTTTTAAAAATATTAAACTCATAAAATAGCACCAAAAAAAGAAAAATTAATTAAAAACAACGTTCTTGCGGAGAGAAGGACTTTTAAAACGTTTTGTATTTTGGTTTAACCCTAATATTTACAATGAAACTTTAATTATGTGAACAATTTCTTAACTAAATTAACTGTTGTAAGGTTACAAATTCTGTTACAAATTAAATTATAACAAACGAATTTTAGAAATAGTTGAGATGTTGTTTTCCTTTAGGCTTAACATGAGTTTCTTCAAAATTACTATTTTAGTTCATCTAAAATCATACTACCCTATCTTAACTCACAAATTATTTTAAATAGGTATATACTAAATACCTAAAAGTACGCTATTTTTATAAAACTATTTATTTTGTATCGGTATTGTCATTGTGGTTGTAAGGACTACGCTATTATATATACCTAATTCAATTTGTATTTTTTTATAAGCACACGATTTACATGAAGCGTGTTCAGTATGCAGCATGTGTAGTTATTTTGTTTGTCTTTTGTGTTAAGTTATCCTAATTTATTGTTTACAACGAGCTTTCATAAGAGACAACAATATTCTAAACATGTTAAACATAATATGATAATTCTCAAAGGCGCACTGTTCCATTATGTTAAATCAATCAACGCGCATGTTTCCAATTTAATGATTGAAACTTCAATAAAATATAATACATTTAACATAAGTTTATTATTAGCATTGATGTATTTATAATTTTAATAATAATGTTTTTCGGAAAAATAGTTATAATAATATTAAAAAATGTACAATTGCTATAAGTTAGCAAAATTATATATTATTATATATTATGCGAAAAATATTACTAGTAGAATGTAAACTGTTTCATTTGTGCCCAATTTACTAAATAAAAATGATGTAATTTTTGTTTCAGTTACATTAAAAATATCATGGCATCTTCAAAAATACCTCCAGCTATACCACCGCGTAGACACAGTTCGACCATTTCACTAAATAAGTAAATATTAATAACTATAATTACTAACAAGTCTACAACACAGATTATAATCGGAAAAAAATGACACTTCATAATGTTGTTACTAATTGAATAGAAACAATAATATTAGTATAATTATTTAGTATTATTTCTTTAGTTAATACTTCATATTTTCTCGGGTGACAGACCAACGATCCTTTCAAGAATATCGACTTTGCAGGAAACCTTGTCCTTAGAGGGTGGCAGCGATGGTGCTAAAATAGGCCGAGTTGGGAAAAGTTAAAATAATCATTAATGAATTGTAGTAGAAGTGAAAAAGTATAATTATTAAACTAGGCAATAATAACCAACAAACTAAGACAAATCGAAGAATGAAATAAAAGATAATATTTATATTACTCTATTATTTTCCAATAACAATGATCTTTTTCCATTACACATTTATTCAAACAACTTGGCTGTTAGTTTACTCAAATAGTATAATTTTCATATTGTCTGTAGATTTGACACGGTACCGTTGACCATGTCAATTAAGTTTTCATAGGTTAGGTTAGGTTACACTAGAAGTTTTAGATTAATGAGCCTATTTAATTTTGTTGATAAAATGAAAAACACTGTCTTATATAGTAGTAATATTTTTTGTTGGTATATTTGTTATGAACATCATAAATATACGTATAATATGCGAGTTTTTATAGAAACATCTATAATTACACTAATTAAACTAAAAACATCCCAGTATTTTTTACTTTTTTCATAGTTGTCATTAAGAAAGAAATCTATGTTATAAAATTGATAAATAATATTAATGCAATAATAATTACTTTACAGAAACTACACATCAGATTCTCATCCCTGTTCATCTCCAATCACAACACGAAGGCATTCGACCTGTACTGATGAAAACGCATACTGTTTAAATGACGACACTGTAAGTAACATTTTTTTTTAGCATTAAATATTATACACTTTTTGTCAGGTTGACTAGTCACCGAACATAACCAATTTGTTTACAATTGCAATTCCTTATGCAACTACAAATTTTAATTTTAATTTCGATAATTTTAGTTTAGGTATTTTATATAATTTTTTTAATTTTCTGAATTCGAATTATATTCTATTTGTTTTAAATAAAATTTTAGGTTACTTACAGCTTGACTCAAAATGTCCCATATATATATTTATATTTTTATATATTTTTTTTTTAATGATGTTTTTTGTTGTTTAAGAATAATTATTACCAAACGATTTTCTCGTTGATTCTCCGAAGTACTATTTAAAGTATATTTCATTATAATATTAGTTTTGCCTGGGGCGCTATCCTTTCGAATTTTAATTTATTTCTAGCGATATAGACACTATATTCGTTCACGACACACATATTCATTAAAATATTATTTAATGAACGTTGAAAACTGTACACGAGACGTTAGCATCAAAATGTTAAATGTACACCGGGCAACGACACGATAAACTTTTTACGCAAACGAATAGTAAACCTTAAAAAAATCCTTTATATTACACATTATATGTTCATCGTTTGCAGTTAAAAACAAATGTTTGCATAGTTTCTGAAAAATATTATTATATATCATTCGAGCGTATATCTCAAACTTTAATGTACTTATATTTCTGGAGAACGTATTCGAATGGGTATAATTTTCCGTTTAATTTGATTTAACTTAACGAGAGCTCGACTTCAACCTGTACAAACATTTTTACCGAATTGCCCTTTTTTCATCCGTACATTACATTTAAAAGTCAATAGGTTTTCCCGTTTGCCTCTTTGCTGAGCACAAAACGCTATGATCGTCAAAAAAAAAATCATCTGTCTTTTTACTTGGTAAGTATACCAATGCCATTACCTACGAATGAGTAGGTACCTCGTTATAAAACTTCTTCGCAGAACTTATTTCACTTTAGGCTTTCACATTAGAAAATAATTGCCATATTTAAACTTTATTGGCTAATCGACTATCCATTTTTCCAACTTCAGGCAAACTCATGATATTATGTTATAATATTATTATATGATATTATTTCAGTTGGTTGTTAATTTTAATTACAAGTCTCATTCTTAACTACGTATATTTATTTAAGGACAAAAATAGGCGACGTTCGACCAGAAATTATTTTAATACATTTCGGTCAAGTAAACTTATTTTCAGATCAATTTTATAACTTTAGTAAATCATTCTTGTCGAAACGCCTCGTACACTACAATCTGGGTAGATATTATCATTGGAGTTTAATTACAATAACACAAAGTAATTGTGGTTAAAAAACAAAATGATTAGCAAATGATTGTTTAGGTTTTTTTATATACATTTATATTTACATTTATTCTAGAGTGTGTAACTGATTTTGTTATTAAAATTCGACTTATTGGGTAAATATTCTACTATTCTTTAATCATAACAAGAAACATGTTAATTGATTCATACGTGTGTACCATAATATGCTTCATGGTGAGACATTTTCTGGAGATACGATTATACATAATTATCAACTGTCAATTAAGAGTTATCTGCATAGCACACTCCAATGAATATGTCAGAACTTATGGTTAGATGATGCGTAATAATTTGACGTTTTCGTTTTAATTAATGTTTCCGTCAAATAAGCTTATAAAAGAATTCGGGCTTGTATGTGCTTGCTTAAACTCTGTACTCGATAGACGCATATTATAGTGTGTAATCAATTTTTCCTCCCTACACACACAACATGCATGTTTGTAGCTAACGTATACATTCATATTTACAGCTAACGATGCTATTTTTAAATTTATTTAGCGACTGGGTTATAATTATTTATATATATATATATATATATATATATCTTTATATAAACATTTCTTCCGTTCGTGTGTAAGTATGCTAACTCCTCCTAAACGGCTCTGGACAGATATTTATGAAATTTTGTGTGCGCAATTAAGTTGATTCGAGAAAGGTTTAGATTCACAATTTGATCCGATAGAACATGTTTTTAATTAATTATAATGAATAATTATGATCAATAGTATTAATAGTTATCAATACATCTCTATGGTTTTTCATACCACAGGGATACAGTGATTCGATCACCTGATTGTGTGTCTATTTTAATACACGGCCAACGCCGGATCGGGACAGCTTGTATACGTAATTTATAATTTTAATACAGACTCAAGTATTTACACAAGTATAAAAAGCTACCAAGATTTCATTTATTATTAAAGTGTAATAAATATCAACACAAAAACAAGTATCATGCAGTTTGAAAAAAAATTATTTCTATTGTTGTGATAAATGACAACGCAAAAATGTTATTTTTAATAATTCAATTACGGTTATGGTACGAGTTAGAATTATTTGTCATCATATAATGATCTAATCAGAACAATTTGACTAATTTCAAAGTAAAAACTGATTATGGGAAATTATTACAAAAAAAAAAAAATAATAATAATAAACAAACCGCACCATGGAGATTCTTGAAAAATTCTTTGGTATGTTTTATTTTTCATAGGTATTTTATAAATAAACCTGGAAACATTCGGAAAACCCAGAGTTTTTGACATTAAAAAATAAATCCCCTTTGTAGTACCATCCGTGGTGTGCGACATTTCTTCCTGGAACACTCTGTGGCTCGTATGTAAACTTGACGAACGGAATGTTACCGAACAAATGTTTACCAGCTTTAGGTCGACATGGACTTTGATTTATTCGAAAACAATAATTTCAGAAATAGTCTAGCATTTTTATCATGGTTAGAGTTAATTGATGTACTTAGTAACATATTTTCGAGTAAAACAAATTTGAAAGTCATGAATTACTAATCATTTTTAAATGTCGTTAAAATTAAATTACATATTAACCTGTATAATAAGTGTTTGATATTTATTTGAGAAGTGAAGAAGTAAGAAAATAAGGATAGTTATATTTTCAGGAATCACATATTATTTATGCATAAATTATAGAAAGTTCAAAAACTCACCATAGAACCCAGAGGGGTTGCTGTGACTTCCAATGACTTTACAATAATATTTTCCCGGAATTTTGAGACTAAATATGCTTAAGACAAAGTAGTTTTATTCTATAATATTTCATGGAAAACTGAACTTAATTATATGACGCCAAGATTTACTCTAAACGTTTATGAATAATTATTTCTAAATCTCCAAATAAAAATAAATTACTAAAACTTAAAACCATTTTACCCTAAGGAAAAATGTCAAAAATAGTTTACTACACGCTTTTTGTAAAATATATTTTAATACCTAGAGTCAATTTGACGACTATGGACAAACTTCCATCAGTGGCTTAGCTTTAATAATTAATTATTAAAACGAGCTTTTTATACACAAAACCATAAAAAAAATGTCCAGTCAGTATACCTACTTATAATAATTGTGAGTGACACATCATTCATACTGGAATTAATCCGGTAAGTGCTTTATAAAGGTAATTATTTTACAAATAATTAATCAAACCTTAACTCGTGTATGTGATATTAAACGAAATACGCCAGAAAAATAAATAGGTATTTTCTTACTATTGTAAATCTGGATGCATTGCTTTTTTTTAATTAACACTTTCTTATGGTATAAATTATTCATTTTATTATGGTTACTATGTTTAGTCATGTAATATATATACATATATTTTTTTTTTTTACCAAATGAGTAGTATTAACTCGAAGTACCATTATCGTATATGTAATATAATGGTATAATTTGCATACAAGAGAACAACTATTAAAAGCTCCTACCCCAAAAAAAGTTACCTAAGTAGAATCCAATGTTAAAAACAGATCTGTCAAATAAACATTTAAAACGGCTAAGGCTGTTTACTAAATTATTACATAAGTGGTGTTCGAATAGATTGACAATAACAATGTTAATACTGGTCCTTGGAGTAATAGTATGACTCACCAATATCCTATTCGATTTCTCGTAATTAACTATCAAACTAATAGGTATGCCAGGGTAACATTTTTGATTATGTCTATGAATTTTCGAAATATGAAGTAGACTATACGAACAATTAAACTAAAAAGTCTACATTATTTGAGATTTTCAAATATAATTTACAGTTTTTTTTAAATGATGTGTTCAATTTATATTTTCACTGAGATTTAGTTGTATTACTTTATTTTTATCAGATTTTATGATCACAAACCTAATTAGAAATAACTGTAACAAGTCAAACACCTGACCTTCGGCACATATGAAAAGAGAATCTGAAAAGTTAACTTGTTAAGTATTATATTAAAGTGTACTGTAATATACACAGATTTTTTTATTTTCTAAACCCAAAGAAATTGTAAAACCAAAATTACTACCATTACAACAAACGTCAAATGTTAAATGTACTAGATAAAATGTACCTACTTTATGTTTAGCTTTGTTTTCTTATTAATTTTATTAGAAGTGCCAACCCACGCAGCAAAGACATACAATTATACTAATTTATTTTTAAATTATATTTTGACAGGAAATCAAATATCAATTTATACACAATTTTTTTTAAAAATATTTCATTTTCATTTTTTTTAACAATATAAAACTATTTAAGTACTTAAGAGTTATAATTAAAACATTTGTGTTACTAATATTTGATTTTCTATGCAACATATAATGTTAAAATATTAAAATAAATATTATAATTAAAGTATGTATTTTTGATGTCTGGTACATATGTGTGGTGTAAATGTATGACATACTGATGTGTATGTCTTGCAAAAATGGTCACTATTTTGGAGGAAATAGTTATGTATATTCATTTATTTCCTTTGATATTAATCGTATAATGTACAACGTAAAGTCATATTTTAAATCGCGACCCCGAAATTGGAAGCAAAAAATAAGGCATAAAGTTTCAAAATGTGTTTCTTCCTATGTAATTATTTATATTGTTGGTTTAAGCTGACAATTAAGTTAAGATATAAATA